GGGGGGGGTCCATCTGTGAAAGGTAATTAGGAAATGCTACTGGAGAGATCTTCTTATTAATAAAAAGAAAAGATCATTCTCATTAATAAAAAGAAAAGATCAAAGACTTGAAAATTCGATTCAGCAAGTGGTACAAATATACTCTTAAAGATATTGGTCTCCTCTTTTATTTCTCTGAAGAAAAAACCAAGGGAAAGCTACTGTGGACAGATCACCTTTCTTGTAATAAACACACTCTATGTTTCATGAAGACCCTAATAACAATCTTGCATTTGGAGGGGACCCTAGAAATAATGGAATCCAACATACCTCTTTTAAAAGATAAAGTTAAGCCCAGGGGCATTCGTCACTTATTTGCCTTCGTTTAGCAAAGGAACTTTAATCCAAATTTCCCAATAACCAGACCAGAGCCCTTTCTACTATACCTTGCAACCCTGAAATTAGGAGGGTTGGGATAAGAATTGCACTCTTGCCTAAGGAGAACAAGGAGAGGGGAAACACCGTATGAAAAGTCCATAAAAAGCTAAGTATCTGTTCGTCATTCTTAATACGTGGTGACAGACTCAATTAATTGAGTCCTCTCTTCCTTACATGCCCTACACAGGAGCTAACAACTTTTGTGCGCTCAATACATATAAAGCCAACAAATGCTCCAAAGTATAACAAGACCTTAAACATGTTTCCTAAGCCCCCAGCACCGATGAATTTGTAGTTTTATAAATATCGTGGTGAACAAGAAATGCTGTCTTGTCATATTCAAGCCAAATAACAGCTGGACTTTAAAAATAAAATTTTGAAGGCATTTGCCTTTTATATTTTTAATTTCTGTTTTCCTGGCTTACGGTTTTGTCATTTGATTTTGATGAGTGGTTAATACACACGCACAGCTGCCTCTTTTGGTGACCTTTCCCTTGCTGCTTCCATGTTCAAAGCTATGAAGCAGGTCTACAAGTTGCTTACTAAGTGATATTGGCATTTTCGCAACTGGCAGCAGACATTTTCCTGGAAAGCCAGGCTTACTTTAGTCACTTCAGAAGCCACACAGGAGAATGGGGTGCAAGGAGAAGAAGGGCATAGCCCCTTAAAGCTGCCATTATGCATTATTCACAATAGCCAAGACACAGAAAACAACCTAAGTATACATCAGCAGATGAATGGATAAAGAGACTGTTTTATACATACATATATATAAATTCATGTGATAAATGATATTATGTATTACAGTACATAATATGTTATATAGTTATATATACATATTTTGAATGTGATAAAAATATTATTCATCCATAAAAGGGAAGAAGGAAACCCTGTCATTTGCAACAACATGGATGACCTTGAAGGCATTACGCTAAGTGAAGTCAGACAGAGAAAGACAAATACTATATGATCTCACACATACGTGGAATCTAAAAAGCCTGAAGTCATAGAAACAGAGAGTACAATGGTGGTTTCCAGGGACTAGACGGTGGGGGAAATGGGGAGATGTTGGTCAAAGAGTACAAACTTCCAGTTATAAAGATGAATGAATAGGCTCTGGGGATCTAATATACAGCAGGGTGACTATAGTTAAAAATATTGTCTTATATGCTTGAAAGTTGTTAACAGAGTAGTTTTTAAATTTTCTCATCAAAAAAAGGTAATCTGTGAGGTGCAGAGGTGTTAACTAACCTTACTGTGGTAATCATTTCCCAATATATACGTGTATCAAATCATCACATTGTACACCTTAAATCTGCACCAATGTTATTTGTCAATTATATGTCAATAAAGCTGGAAAAAGATTTTAACTGGTCCAAAGCCAGAGGAAACATGGAGATGATCATGTGTGGACTAAGAAGGGATGACATCCTGGGTGAGAGCTACAAAACTTACCTGCCAATGGAGCTTACCGAAGTAGCTTTCGCCCTGAACCTCTGTGAGGAACAAAGAAGTCTTGATCTTCTTAGTACTTTTCTCAGTGATAATTATATCTGTCTTATGTATCTATGTATGCATTACCCTTTTAATCTTCTGTCTTTCTTCACTAGACTTTAAGTTCCAAGAGGTCAGGAACATATTTGTTTTGCTTCCTTTGCTTTATCCAGTGTCTAGTTCAGGGACCGGCACACAGAACAGGCACTCAAGAAATGTTTGTCTGTTTGTTTGTTTGTTTGTTTGTTTTTAGACCAAGACTGACTGAATAAATTTTTTAGGTATTCTTTCACTTCATTTCCTTCTTACTCTTCCTCTTAAGGGAAATATGGAGGAGCAAAGTGGAGAAAGGATGTGTACCTGTTATCTACTCTGACTTTAATATGAACTGCAACTCCAGCAGGCTTTGCAATCAGCTTACGCTTGAACAGATGCCAGGAAATATCCTGAAGTCAGCAGAAGGCTGCTGCGCATCCCAGCAGTCCTCACAAAGGCACTGCACTTCTGTTGGTTTTAGAGCAGGTAACTTGACTCCATTCATGAACTCAGTCCCCCAAAAGCACACGAGGGCTCAATGGCAACTCTGGGCAAGCTTCTGAAGGGAGGTTTTCACACGCTCCTTAAGCTCCTGGGCCACTACAGCCCTTCTACTATTACAGTCATCAGGCATTGCTGCTATGTGTGACAGAGTAACACGAGAGCTGGTGCGTGGCATGACTTGCTATATTTAGGGGAGAGGAAATGGGCCATACTGAGGAAGGTCACAAGGAGTTTGTTCAGAAAAATGAAGGCACCACTTCTGCATCTGTATATACAGGGGGTGCAGGGTAGCACAGTACTTCATGGCTTGGGTTCTGGAGCCAGGCTGCCTGGGATCAACTCTCAGCTCTACCCTTACTAGCTATGTGACCTGTGGCAAGTTACTTAACTATTCTCACCCTTAATTTTCTCATCCGTAAAATGGAAAAAAAAATACCTTCTTTACAGAGTTGTATATGATTTAAATGAGAAAACATGTGTTAAAAGCTTAGCGTATTCTCTGGCATATAAATGCTTGATAAATGTTTGCTTAAAAAAAGCGAAGTAACTAGGAAATTGGTTTGAATCTAGACAATCTGGATACTGAATGGAAGTTCCACAGATTTTTCTATACAGTATGTTTCTCTACAGTTAAGCTTTTCACTTTTTCTTTTCATAATGGTTAATAACTCTGACCATGATTTTTAACTTACCAAGCACATGATATCATCAACTAGATTATTAGCATTACTGAGAGGCAAATGACTTTATACCTATTGTACAGTTAAGAAGTAAGTGAAGGGCTTCCCTGGTGGTACAGTGGTTGAGAGTCTGCCTGCCGATGCAGGGGACACGGGTTCGTGCCCTGGTCTGGGAAGATCCCACATGCCGCGGAGCGGCTGGGCCCGTGGGCCATGGCCGCTGAGCCTGCGCGTCCGGAGCCTGTGCTCCGCAACGGGAGAGGCCACAACAGTGAGAGGCCCGCGAACCAAAAAAAAAAAAAACCAAAAGCAAGAAGTAAGTGAAGAAAGCTGAATGACAGATTAAGAAAACTCTGTTAGAACAAGGATAAGGCAATAGAACTCTGTAACTCCTAGTCTACGGAAAAATTAACAGACTGAATACTCCAAAGTGATGAAAAGTATTATTTCACTGTGTCTGGTCAAAGATTTAGGTACTCTGTAGTACCATCTTCCAACAAAATTGAGATGTGCCACACCTGAATAACTAGTTCCCTAGACCACGGAACCTCAATCCTCACCAGGGGGGAAATCATGTACTTCTAAGTGCCTAGAAAAATGTCAGTGTCACCGTGCTCTCAGTACACATTCTGCATGGAAGACAGTGAATATATTTCTGGTTTTGAGTCCTCTTTATTCCTCCTTTCCTGCTCCCCCCCTTCCTTTTCCTCTTCCCTTCCCTTCCTTCCCCACTCCCCTCACACATGCACATACCAATCAGAGTTTATTTTAACACCTTGTCCCCAGGACTATCATTAAACATTAGTCTCTCCCACTGGCACGAAAAACTCTCTGAAGTACTTCCTAATGTCTGATACTACCCATCTCTTAGTGCTCATGCCAGGGATTTCTGAACTGCCTCGGATGGCCCCGAGCTATCACTAGAAGCCGTGCTCAGTTCAGATGCTGCTATGAAAAGTCTTCATGTGTTTTCAAGGGATTAGGGTCCTGGAAGGAATCCTGCCAGTGAAAGGGATAATAGTAAGATTTTTCCCCTCAAGCTAAAGGACTTTAGCTGGGACCTGAGATGGATGAAGTATTGTGTTACTCTAAAGAGAACAAATAATCTTCCCTGACTGGTGGGAGGGATTCTGACACAGGAACAGCTAACGGGAAGACCAGTCCCTGCTCTGGGATGACACAGTAAATAACCAGGCAACGCTACTACTAAAGTGCTGACTTAACTCATAGATTGTAAACAGCCTCTGGGGAGCAATCTCTGCTGTTTTGCTGCTTGTGTATTTAAAACAAACAAACAGAAAAGAAAGAGGAGCGGACAGGCATTGATGGTGCTGTGGGTAAACACATTGAGAGTAAAGCTAGTCTTTTCCATCCTGACTTTCAAAAGGCTTTATAACGGTTAGTACCCAGACACAGGCTGGGCCTTGCCCAAGCAATTATTAATTTTATGCTAGATCTGCTTCAAACTATAATTTAGTTTCCAAAACGGTTTGATTGCACCTGGGAATCACTTGATTTGGGGGTAAAAAATCCTCCTTTGTATGTTTGTCCCTTTTTTAATTTTTTTAATAAGAATGTCACGAGGTGGATGAAACACAGAATTCTGTTGTCCATTGAAATGTAGAGGGTTCTTTTATTTTAAAACTTTAAAATGGCACCTTGAAGTATTTGGATTGCTATGTGTTCAGTAACACACAATCTAGCTGAATTTCAAAGTCCTCAACTATAACATATAATGAAGCCTAACATTTTTCTGATTTGCCAAGAAAATTGATCTGGTGACTCCCAAGAAAGACCATGAAGATCCTACATCTGCCTCAGGCACACCTCTAGAAACACACAGAGCAGCAGAACAGAAAAGCCACTCACCCTCTGCATCTTCTGGCCGAGTAAGATCGATGACACCTGGGCCCAGCTTTCCATCTTCACTTGACTTTCCTGTTAACTGGGGCCCCAAATTTTCAAAGCGTGTTCTTTCCTAGAGGAAAGAATAATCAGAGACTTATACTAGCTTCCAAAGCAGCCACTTTTTCCTTCCAGTTTCTATCTTTCTTAATGGACAAAACTTGGATTTACAAACATCATTTCTGACCAACTTGAGCTCAGAAAACTTTTCAGGAAGATTCCACTAAAGCCTGTTTATGGCACTGACAGTGTTGACAGCACCTAAACCATAGTACCTATAAGGAAAGGAAATCTGTGGCAGGTAACCTGCCAGGGCTGTACTGCACATCTCTCTGTTGGATTTGCTCCAGTATTCTAAAAGGAATGCAAATGAAAGGTGTGAGCCAAAACTGCAAAATTTGAAAGAGCAGTTTCCATTAAAATATACTGTTATTCAATGGGAGAGGAATTTTCCTTTTTAGAGATCATAGTTTGCATTGGTACTCCTGGAAAAATACGAATCAGAATTTTAGGCAAGAAGATTTCAGAAATAAATATTTCAAAGCAGGCAGACTAGATGATGGCTTTGATACTATTATTTTGCTGAGGAGTTCGAACTGTAACTTCCTGGTAAGTGAAAAGGAGAACATTACTCCTAGTCAGGGCTTGAGTCAGGAAAGTTAAACACTCTTGCCATTATAGTAGGGAAACACAAAGATGTTTTAATTGTTATCCTGTTCTTCTAGGATCAGGAGTCTGAAACATCACAGTGAACTCTCCTCCTGTAGCTCTCTGGATCAGTAGCAGAGGGCTCATTGATCGTAATTAACATGGTGTTCCTGTCTGCAGAAACACAGCACATGTCCCCTTCTCTCCTCCTTGCTAGGCTCCAGACTCAAACTTGGCTTTGTGTTGTGCTTATGAATGAATGAAACCTTGTTGTTCATTACTATGAAACAATATTAAATGTCATGTCAGCCTGAATTTACAGACATGAAATAGCAGCTTCCAGCTCCGGGAATGGTCTCTGCATGTTATACTTAATGCATTATGCAGCAGTAGAGGACTGATTGCTGTTCAGTCTAGTGTTCAATGACCTAGTTCTGCACTAGGCATGTTCGGCATTAGACGGAAACGCTCTGAGTGTTCTCTTCTGTAAGATGTTTAGAAACTTGGAAATATTCTTAAAGAGCAAACATACAATTACTTGATAGAGGCTGTGTCTCATTTGTACAGTCTCACTACATTTGTGCTTTCTAATATGATTATTTTTGAATATCATTATATTTCTATAATTAATTCCCATCAGTCAAATTGTGCAGGAAGTCTTCCAGTTCCCCTTCATCATGGAATATGTTGAAATCTGTGTTGGAAGAAAACACAGTATAAACCTTGCTTTAATCTAGCAACATTTCTATGAAAGACTGCAACAAAATTATAATCATGAATTTCCCCAACTGGGTAATACTAACTAGTTACAATAGCGGTATGTGGGGAAACCTCTGAAACACCACACTTATAAAAAACAGAGTGAAAATAAAAAGCAAATTAGGTATGGTTCCCCAATATCTTCTTATGTGACACTGCCGCTGCACAAGAACAAATTAACTCAGATGCAGGCCACAACAAAGAGCAACCACAAGCCAGACGAGAGTTTCACACATTGTAGGGGGGAGGACAGCTGTTTTTAATCAGCCAATTTCTATTTTTGAGTAGCACTTTTGGTTGTCATGATGTAAAGAAAAAGAATTAAAGTGAAAATAAGCAGTACCAGGGAAAGCAAAATATTCAACCTTTGCTTTATCACATTGTTTCGCATTTCAAATATTTGCATGTGAATGCTTTCCCTATGTTAAATGCAGAAGGAGTTTTGATGTGACACCTGCAATCTTCTTGGAAGAACAACCTTTATCTGTATTTTCATGGGGAAAAAACAACTTTCTCTGAAAATCAACAGACTGTGCTACCTATCAATATGCATATTTCAAGTATCTTTCTAGTCATTCATTCTCTTTGATTTTACCGGAAAATATTCTCAGTAAAAAAAAAAAATAAAGTTCCTGAAAGAATATCAATATTTTGACAAGGAAGGAGAAGAGGGAAAATTACATGCCATGGTTTGTAAAATCCTAAGACAACAAAGCTTACATAATGATAATATCTTTTCTTTTATAAAAAGTGAAGTGCACTCACAATTCAGTAGTATCAGCTTGTTTTTAATCATAACAAAAAACATTCAGAACATTCAACAACATATTCACAGTGTCTTTGAAGTCATACATTTTTCTGACTTCATTGAAAAAAAAATTATTCTGCAGAGATACTTTCCTTATAAAATATCAATATTTTGACAGAGTAGAAGTCGAGGAAGAATATCCCATGAAACACTTGTTAAATAGGCAGAAAATAAATCGATGATAAAAATTGTTTTGGGCAGTGGGCTGCATTTTATATTTGGTAATATTAAGCACTTGTGTTTGAGATTAAAGAAGGACCCTGCAAAGCCATGCCCTTTCATATAAATTTCTACCTAGTCTCCCAGAAGATTTCCTTCTTTTCTTCAAAGAATAGCTCAGAATATTTATTTGCCAGCCACATAACCATAAGATAAGAGGGTCTGATGTCTACAAGTTAGCTCTGGGCAGCTGAGCTAAGCAAAGATTTTACCAGTGAGGTTGAACATGAGCCTAGTAAATACAGAATGTGGACAGAGGCACAGAGAGAATTTCAAGGATACTTTAGTTCCAAGAGGCCCTCAACTTCTGGCCATTAAGTGCCAATGGGTATGCCCCAATAAGGAAAACATAGACAGTGGGTGGCAAGCTCTTAACTACAAGTTTTCCATGCACTTGAACTAGCTCTCGCTGGCAAGTAGATATTTTGGAGATATAAACAAAACACCTCAATGCTAATTTTAATCTCAACCCCTCCAGGCAGGAGAACTTCCCAGTCTTCATGATGACAGTGAAATGTGCGTTTTACATGCAGTGATGTGATCAGACACTTACTTATGCACTGTCAGTCACAAACATGCAGGCAACATAAAAGTTATTGAAAAAAATTAAAGTCAGCTCTGCTGTGTTGTAGGACTGTTGGCTCTCTAAGTGCTTTGAAATTATGATGTATGAGGTAGATGTTGTATATTAAATAAAGATATTTAAATGATAAAGCCCCCTTTAGTGAGAGCTGATGAATGTTAAATGTTACAAAAGCCACAAGACGGTAGCATACATCATCTTCGCATATTATCAGAGTCAATGACGGGGCAGCCTCACTGATGACAGACAGGCTGCTGCATTATTATCCCTTATTTCCAGTGTCACTGAACAAACCATTCAACTCCTCAGGCATTATTTCTAACTTTGCATTAAATTAGTAACTTTTCCCTCCCTACCATGGCAAGATTGATCATTTCTGTCTTTGCACGGGTGGAGAGAGAGAATGAGTTTGGGATAACTGAAAAAACAGAGGTTTATTTTCATCTAGTAAAAAAAAATCAACTCCCTCTCACTGGCAACAAATGTAAAATTGTGTTTTGGGGAAAGAACAGCAATGAAACAGTAAGCACATAATAATGGCTTTTCTTTGCACTTAGATAAAAGCTGAATTTTTGATGTGCACAGTATATTTTAATAAAATTTTATATACTATGTTTTATACACTTACTGGCTATTCCATAATAATGTGTGTGCTAACAGTAAAATTGCTCTTAAATTTATGTGTGTTATTTATATGTTCCCACGTAACAATGCTTTTTGTTGTAAAAAAATATTCTGTTTATTAATGTAATTTTACAACCACTGCATCCAAGATCCGTGGTAAATTAATGACATTTTTATTATTTTATAGTGTCATTAAATTTTTACTGATCACTCCATCAAACAGAGGCAGTAAAGGCCATAATGTAAACTGGGACACTCAGAGCAGGCAGCAGGAAGACATTCCATATAGTCTGAAGAAAACTGCTAGCAATAAATGATATTTATACCATCTTTAAGCATGTGAGAATACTTGGATAAGTTTGGCAAAACTGTTTCAGTAGTAGAGTGGATTGTGTACTTAAATAACAGTTTGCTTGCCAGTGAGACAAGCCTTTTTCAAACCATATGTGAGATGAATGATTACAGCCATCTCCTGAAAAACAACATGTGAAAGGTAACAATGCACTGGGCACCCTCCCTCTGGATTTCCAAGACTGACCAACCTATACCACACCTCAAATGATTTCAACATGGTCCTCTTTTCCACAAACTGAAGTGGAAAATTGTACATGCTGAGAGAGGCTTTTTGTTTGTTGCCTTACAAACAAATATATTTCATTTGACAGGCAGACATGGCTGGAAAATGATGTGATGCATTTTATTCCAGTGGTCTAAATGAGAGGTACTTTACCAATCTGTATTCAAAGGTCTTTTCCAAAGAATGTCTGAATATGAGGTCATCCATAGCAACCACAGAACACACACCTAAGAGGCCATTACTTATATTTCAGTTAAAATGGGTAAAACAAACCTCATGTTACTTTCACATGTAAGTTCCATTTTAATTAGTATACTCTACACTAGCTCTCAAATATTCTGTTCATAGAATATTAGTATATATATTTTATACAAATATTTTATAATATTTTCTACAAATACATACATATTATATATATCATACTTCTATTTGCTATACAGAAGATAGAAAATAGAAAATTCTACGCTCATTTAATCACAAATTTAGAACCACCTATCTCCTACATGGGGATTTTGGTATGAATGTTTTTTGAGTAAATAAGAATTTTGCTGTTATGTCCTAAAATACTTATTTAAATACTAAAGAACATTTAAAACCATTCAAATTTGTAATAATAAGGAATTTTGCAGGGAAGATTAATACTACAGCGCTTCTGTGTATTCCTGAAGCAGTTTTCTAAGAGAAATAACAAATATATGCATTATGAACAGAAATTCTCTAAGGCCACCACAATATTCTGGGATACTACCTACCCTTAAAGTTTCCGCTATGTCTGAGTTGTTGAATACTACCCAAAAGAAGGTTTGCCCTTTCATCTCGGCTCCAAGCTTTAGTGTCTTTCCAATCCTGGAAAAC